GGCCAGAAGATCGTAGGGCTCTCGTGTTGCTTCAACAGTGGAAGTAGACGCTTCTGTAGACACTCCTTGTGGTAGATCTCCCCGTTTACAGTCCCGGTAGTCACGAACGGCGCACTCCGTGTCCCACATGAGCAGATCGCTTGCCTTATCATGTATTTCTTGGCAAACTTGGAAAGTTTCTGCTTCCTTACTTCCTCCGGAACATCAAACTTGTGCTGGGTGGTGAAGAACAGTAACTCCGGAAGCTGCCGGAGGTTCGCCTTGACGTAAGTCTCATCATTCATTATGAGACAATGAGGCTTCGTCAGCATCTGCATGCACAGTTTCCGGGCCCGTGACTTTCCTACCGTATTTTGCCGTTTGTCACGATTTGGAGCCTTCTGCACTTTGTACGTATGCAGTCCCTTCCGGTCCATGGCTCTCTGAACGAAAGACTTGGGCATATTCTTTTTGGCCACATCCCTAACCGAAGCATTGGGATTCCGCTTAAACGCTTTCACGACACGCTTGTGATCCTGACCACTAATAGAACATCCATTTTGACCACATTTCTCCTTCCGTTCGATGCTCAGAGTTTTGTAGTAACGTTTAATCACACGACTCAACGTTGACTTCACGATTCCGAGTTGTTTTCTGATGTCCCGATGAGAGAGTTGATTATTTTCCAGGTGATTGCGCAAAATCGATTCGCGACGTTGCTTTTCGGGTGACGCCATTTTTCCGAATTTCGAAAAATTGACAGCGATAAAAATGCAGTGTAAACAATACACTATAAACTACTTCTACCCAAATTTTCAAGAGAAAATACCCAATGGGTAATTTTCTACAGCGTTTTTTTCCGTGATGCAATTGGATGTGGGACACCCTTTAGTATTGTTATTAAAATTTTTAACTATTTTTTTTAATATTCATGTACGAAAATTTTATGATATTACAGTCTAGGAAGGATCTGCAATTTTATCTTAATCTTAAAATTATAACAATTGATAAAATTTTGCGATCTTTCATTTACATTTGAATTATAAGAATTTATACTTGCAATCTGTCGTAGAGATATATTTTTTAGTTACATGAAAACAAATGGGTTTGGGATCTCAAAACTATTTTTATTTTATCTGATAGAATTTTAAGAATTGTTCATTGACATATATTTTGAACTTTTTCCTATGTCCTAAATGTATTCATTCTATGAGCACATTGTCATATTTCATTTCCACAAATTTTAAAAATTATAAATTAAAAGTCCTAGAATTTAATGTTGGTACCTATGTCTGATATTTAATTGATGAATAAATTTGAATGATACAAAATTCTTGGAATTATCTATCCATAAAAATTATCTAACATGAGACTTTCCTTAAGTTTGAAATCCTTAAACTCTTTATGAGATCCAGACTATGTGTAGTTTCATTACAATAAGCTTGAACAAACGATCATGCTTGTTCGAAAGCAGTATGCTTTTAAGGCTCCCCGAAGCGTTGTTATGAAAAAATACAATAGAATTTAATGTATCTTTATTAAAATTATAGTAAGCTTTGCCATAATAGGTTGTATTATTGGATGAAGTGGAAATGTATCCAACAGGAAAATAAAATAACAAATAGCCTTGACGCCTTTTGATTGAATGGTTGTTTCAGATTTTCTATCTACACAGAAAAACAATTCTGAATCTTAACTATCGCGTAAAATCTCCCTTTGTTTAGTTTTGAGCTATACTTGGCATAAACAGCGAAATCGTTTACAAGCTTGCATACAATATTGCTAATTTATGCGATATTGCGCTTAAATTTACACGGCATATCGCGTAAATTTATGCCAAATCTATGAATAAATTTACATGAATTTTTCGAACCGTAGTTTATCAAAACAAAACAAAAATGCCACAGGACTCCCCTAATTGGCCCTCTCCAGTAAAATTGTCTCACGGATAGAAATCCCATTATACCTTCTGGCAAATTTCCATTGTTGATTATTCATAAAATGTATAAGTCAACTAATAAGCAGACGCCTTGCAAAAAGTTAATAAAGATCATGTGTCAATGAAATGTATAAATGGTCACACATACCGTTTATGCATTCTTATAGGACGTATGTGGTTTGTTTGTTTTGGCAAAAATGTATAAACATGAATAAAGTAATTAATTTTCGATTCGTGAGCTACGCCAATGCCAAAACGACCAGTCGAATCGTATGCTCTTTTCGATACAAATATAGCGGTACATATCCACATATATCTGACAGGAGCATGTATAATGTTAATATACTTTATCTGGAAGGTGGTTAGACCAAGTGTAGCAAGATCTAGATAGTGTGAAACGCTCGAGAAACTGGAGCCAAGCAGTCACGGACAGTCTTGTAAACAGTCGACATTTTCGATAGCGTTCACTAAGGGCCGTTATGTCAAAGTTATGATTCATTCAATACTATGAACGCGACCATGATTTCGTTTACCCGTCTACAGCTGTCATGCGCAAAAAAAGTTTTTGCTTCCAACACGAGAATGAATCGAATGTTTTTGTTTCGTCTCTTTCCTTCGAACGTATACAAAAGAGCAATGAAAGAAAACTGGAGAAGTAGACCATCATTTTCTCTCTCCCTATCGCTGTCAGTACTGTCGATTGAGTTGCGTTCATTTGAATTTGTTTACAATACTTTGAATGTCGTTTGATAGAAGTTTCATAGCCAAAGTGTTATTAAAAAACTGAATTCTCGCGTCACTTTTCATAACGTCCAATCTACATTGATCGATTCTCTTCATCGACTCTCTCTTTCGTAAATAACTCGGCTGCAGGCATATTTCGGGCTGATTTTGCTACATATTATTTTAAAAGAAAGTATTATCAAGCATGTTGGACGATGAGAATAGCTTAGAATGTTTTTGGAAGCGAGTTATTAACGAAAGAGAAAGTCGATGAAGAGAATCGATCAATGTAGATAGGACCTTATGAAAAGTGACGCAAGAATTTAATCGATTTGTCACGTTGGAAAAGTGGTAACAGGTATGTTTTGTTGATTTAGTCCATCACAACGCATTGCAGTTATGTTTTGTTTCTACTTCTAGGAAAATAATGTGGATTTAAAATCACTTGCCGATTCGCACGCGTAATGTTTTTTGACATCGGTTCTGGGGAGTGAAACGACAACAATAAGGTCAACAACGACGAGCAGCAGCCGCGGGGGGAGGAAAATAATATCGCCGACAGTACGGTCAAACAACAGCACAAAACAGCTGGAGCGATCGTCAACAACACCCTTTAGAGCCTGATCCAGGCGTCCACAGTAGGAGCGTACGCGACGGCCCTCTGCCAGAAGGAAGATCACCAGCTGGAATTTAAAAAATGAACTGGAAATGAAGAAGAGAATCACCTTCCCGACATCAATCTGGCATTTTCGCTGAAAGACGACGGTGTTAAACGGTAGAGTATCGAGGCCCGACGACGAAAGTGAAGATTGCCAACAAAGGCTACGCAAGTTGCTCGAGGCACAGCTGACCACCGCTTTACGATTGACGATGACGTCTACCTGGGAATAATCGTTTCGCACTTTACCGGGAAGTACGGTAGTGGTGAGTGTGTTTGTTATAATGTCAAGTGTTTTGATAGATTGTAATTATATTTCCTTTTACGTAGAACATCGGAAGCTGTACTTTCCGATAGCGTTCCGCTTCGAAAGGAGTCTCTGGCTGTACACCGACACCATTCAGGCCATTCCTAGCCGAACTACCAAAGTACGGTCTAATGCCGTTCAATTTGCGCAAATTTAAGGAGGAAGCCAAGGCCAAGATGGGAATGCATAACCAACAAAATGGTCGAGCCGTTCCAAGTAGTATGTGAAACACAACGAAATTGAGCGAAATGACCTACTTCGAAGGCGAACATAGATCTGGTGCTAACGGACACCAAGAAGTCGGATGTGACTAAGGAAGCTGCTGCCGCTGTCGTCACCACCACCCCACCCCCATAAACACCACCAAGGATATTAGTGATGCTGCTGCTGCTCCTACTGTATCTGCCGATGGATCTCCCCCAGCAGCACTCAAGGACAAGAGAAGAAGAAGAAGGTCTTTGTCGCTGGTGAGGCCAGCAAGGAAAATGCTGCTAAGGCAAAATAGAGGTTGTACTGTAAGGTGTTCCGTTATTTCCACGGCAGTGTTCAGAAACGTTTGTGTTCATTGTTTTTAACACATGCATAGGTACCAATGTTTGGATTTTTTCGTGTCTCCTCACCTGCACTCGTTCGGAATATGGTTGAACCGGCAGTTTTTAAATAAAAGCATAGTTGATAAAACCTGAAATATCTATTTGTTTTAGCCAAGATATAATACTGCTATCCCCCCGTTTACGCGGTGGGTGGTACCGCCCACCCCCCACTTTCTCGGCGGTCCTTAAATCAATTGAGCCGATTTTCTGTATACAACTAGATTATGGCGGACATTAATCAGAAAAAGCGGTGAGTGAGCAGTACCACCCACCGCGTAAACGGGGGAATAGCAGTAGACTGCAAATTGGTTGAGTTTATTTGTATTTTTTTTCTCTGCGTGTACGGTAGCACATTTCTACCCGAACAATCCATAATGTCCTAAGCAAGATTGATTTGTTCTTTTCGTCTATTTTCCCTTGCATTAATAACTAAGGCTCAGTTAGTGAGCAATAAAATATCCTCTTGTCATGTTTCTCGTGTCAAATGCAAGATAATAGCTTGTTATATTGAACTGTGTGGGAAATATCAATGGAAATAAAAGAAAAGGTATTCAAATATGACGAAATGCTCAGAATCAATCTTAAAGCTCTTCGTCAAGCCAATTGTACAAGTTAGGAACTATTTTCTCAAACAGTTCCTTGTTGAGCTTAACCAATAGGATATTTTCAAGGTTTGCTTCAGCGATTTTTGTTCGCTTGTCCGAAAGAACCAGTGCAAGAGCACTGAACGCGCGTTCCACGGACACCTGGTTTGAAGGTACCGTCAACAGCAGAGTTGCAACTTCGTATAGCTCGGGATGACTGAATTTTCGTGAAACCCAATATTTCCATACATCAAATGAGTAGAGTTGATGAGGCTCGAGATCAAGTGCTTTTAGCTGTCTCAGAAACGTGTCTGATGTTTGAATTCTTCTTGAGCCCGACTCAGGAAGCATTCCTCCAAACATCTGTGTCAAAAAGGCATCCAGCTCACTGTGCTGATCTTGATCTGATCCTGTTGCAGAGGTTGATGGTGACTGAGTTGGTTGGTCTACGCTGTGTGGTTTCATTCGCTTGATTCGCTCCCATGTTGCAATGATGAATTTCTGAACAATAGGATAAGAAAATACAGAACAAATGGAGGTTCAACATTCATTGAGTGACAAAAGCAATGGACTTACTCGAACTTCCTCTTTTTCTTCAGATGTGAACAGTGTAGAATTCAGGTAATTAAATCGTGGATCGATGAGAAGCGCGGACTTGAAAATCATATTGTCCTTCAACTGTTTGAGACGTTGGGTCAGTGAAGCCGTCAATGGTTCTACAAATCGGTTAGATTGAATTTTACTGACATCCATCACGGTTCTTATCCATGTCAAGTAAAAATCGTTCAGGGAAGTATGGTTGGATTGCATGTTCTTGGTTGCCAAGAAAACTGGTCTGAAAGCTGCAACATATTCCTTAATGAATGTCCACTGTTCTGTAAGATCTGAAATTTAAAATGGTAAGTGATAAATCTATGTACAACTTTTTATCAGTTTTTAACGTGTTTCACTAACCCAGCTCAGGATACTGCGATCCTAAGTCTCTGAAGAAATCCTCATGCTTTTCGAAATGCTCCAACATCGTGAAGATTCCTCCCCACCTGGTCCTAGCATAAAGGGGTGGGAGCGATTGGTTGTGCAGATCGAACACCGGTTTATAAGCTATCTTGCGGCAATTTTTTGTGACTGTAGTACATTGACGGATGTCAGCATCACATGCCTTGATAACATCGGTGACTGCTAGCTGCATTGTGTGCACAGCACACCTCACAAGCGTTATACGATTGAAAAATTCTTCTTCAATCGCTTCGGTCCAGTCTAGTCCAGGTAGCTCTTGTGATGGGTCATCTTCGTCGTCTTCAGTGGAGAGGATCATAACCTGCAAATATGACTGCAACTGCTTTACAGCTGCAATCATATTTGCACCGTTGTCGCATGTGATAGAAAATATCTGCTCAAGTGAAATGCCGTATCCTGCGAGTATTTCTTCGATTTTCGACCTTAGAAATTTGGCAGTGTGCCTCTCATTAAGTTCAATCATCCCTGAAGAAGAAATGAAATTATTTTGAGTATAAATCTATGATTTACATGTACGGCGAATCACGGGATATCCCATTCCATGCATTAAACTTTTTACGAAAAAGCTGTACTTGGAATAGTGTCTCCCTAATTATAAAGATGCAATCCGCCCTGTTTCAACTTGATAAGATGCTGTCACTTACCGACGGTCAGAATCACTACCTGCTGCTGCTCTGGGTCAAAAAATTGGATGTTGACACCCAGGATGTGTCGTCCATGTCGAGAAGCACTGTCGATTTTTAGACATATAAGCTTTCCGTTCACCAGACTTCTAATCGCGGATCGGATCTTTGTGGCAGCAACTGTTAGATGTCTGAGAACGTTAGGGCGATTCATGCACATATTTAGTGCTTCACCAATGGGTTTCAAGAGCAGTTGAAACCCTTCCCATTCGACACAGTGCAGGGGAACGTGATGGACGGTCACCAGTTTCAATATTGCTTCGACAAATGTTTGCCTGTCGATGGCAATCATTTTTTTTGATGCCTTCTTTCTCTTGGATGGTACTTCCGCCTCATCTTTAAGTAGTCCACGTGATTTGGCCAGAATGGTGTGTTCTGTACGAAGATGTCGGATAAAATTTCCGGCATCAAATTTTTCAGCTTTCTGTCGGTATTTGCAACTGTTGGCAGCATCGATGGCACACAATACAAATCCGTCTTCCGTGGAAATGCAGCCTTCCGCTAGGATCTCTCTGTATTTCTTTTTTTCGATCGATGATGCTGATACGTCCATTGCGATTGAAAAGTTTAGGATCTGTTTTAAAATCTTAACTTGAAACAGTAAAAATTGGTCGACAACAACACTAAGAACTTTTTCACGACTGTAGAATAGCAAAACAACGATAACCATAGAAAACGTAGACGTGTTCTTTTCTTACAACGTTGAACGAAGACGATGTGTGGTACTAAGAGTTGAGGAAGACGGAAAATAATCGACTTTTTCGTCCTCGCGGTTTCTTATGCAGCAACAGACGTGACGTCACATCTGCTGCTTCATAAGAACACCGTGAGAATGAAAGAGTCGACTAGTTTCCTTCCTCCTCACCTGTAGATAACCCACATTGGAACGAAGACGCTATAGAGTGAATTAGAAAGAGATAATGAAACTGCAAAATAAATGAACACGTGGACAGCTACGGTGAACGCAGTCGGTGTTTACAAAAAATGATGAATATCAAATGAATAAGATAGAGAAGTGTCGTGATGTCAAAATACATTTTTTGGCAAGCCTGTCGAACGAACATGCTTGTTACGAATGGCTTGACAAAAAGAGCATGATAATAGAGAATAAAGCGTCGGTGAACGTGACCGTTTACAAGACTGGTCACGGATCGAACTAGAAGAAGCAACATTGTATTAACGATTGTATAAACAAGTTTGTCGTTGCGACTTGCAAAATGAGGCCCCAGGTCAAATCATAAAGGACGTCGGACCAGCAAGTGTAGAGTAACCTGGAATAGATCATCTTAAAAAGAATTTTATCTCAGTGTGTGGCTTATGCCCTAAAATACCAGGATTAAAGGATTGAAGCTGCAGGAAAACTTACTTAAATCTTACTTAAGTACCACAATCAAGACAAAAGTCCTATTGCATTAATCTTAAGTTTTAGAGGTGTACTGTCTTCTGTAAACTAAATTAAAAACAGCCAAAAGAAGGAGCTCTATAGACTGTTCCAGAAAGTATAAGCACACTTTCAAAATAACGAAAAAGTCATGTTTTTTTAAGTTTTAATAATTTTATTTGGCAAATCATATTTGTATTTGTATTTCAAATGATACTTTACTCTCGTTTAATTAACATATTTAATCATAGCCAAGAATCCTAATTTTGACCACTTTTGGCCAATCTTTTTTGAATTTTTGGATGTCGTCCGCTGGTTTTATTAATTTTCGAAGCTTTGCTTTGGTTAAAGTCCAAAAAGTCTCGATTGGCCGTGCCTCCGGGCAGTTCGGCGGATTCATGTCTTTCGGCACGAAACATACATTTTGACTTTTGTACCATTCTTAAGTGTCCTTTGCGTGATGACATGACGCCAAATCAGGCCAAAATACTACTTGACCTTCGTGCTGCCTGATCATCGGCAACAATCGCTTCTGGAGACATTCCTTAATGTATTTCTGAGTGTTCATCGTCTCCGTTGTGATGTACGGACTAGATGTTTTACCACACTCGCATATTGCCTGCCAAACCATAACCTTCTTACCGAATTTTTCGGTAAAATTTGCCTTCTCCGTTTCGGGGATGTCCTTGCCTTCGCTTACAGTATAGAATTGTGGTCCGGGAAGCGTTTTGTAATCTAGTTTCACGTACGTTTCGTCGTTCATTATTATACACCCAGAATTTCGACACAATAACGAATCGTAGAGTTTGCGGGCCCGTGGTTTCAAAGAAGAGGCCTGTTTTGGGTTCCTTTTGGGTTTTTTCTGCTTCCGGTATGTTTTTAGCCCAAGTCTTTCTTTGGAACGCATGACGTTACTCAACGAGGTCCGTAGTTTTTTCGCAACATCCCGAACGAAAGTCGCTGGTTTTCGTTTGTAGGCATTCCCGATCTTTTTATCGATATCCGGACTTACAGGACCGGATTGCCGGCCACTCTTCGGCGCATCTTCAAACGTACACTGTTCTCTGTATTTTTTAATCGCAGTTCGTACCGCTCCGACGCTTACACCCTCTTCCTTGGCCAATTTTCTGAAGGAGAGTCCGCTCACAGTGCACCATTTGTGCGCGATATTTTTTCGTTGTTCCGGAGTAAGACCACGCATTTTGACAGGAAACACAAAACTTAGCACTTTTTCGATACTATGTCATTCAGAAATGAGCAAACAAAAGGACGCAGCCAAAACATGTTGAAATATTTCATTATATTCAAAGTGACCGTTAAAACAAGGTGTGCTTATACTTTCTGGAACAGTCTATCTTTTGGCCATTTTCAAAGTAAAGGTGGTCCTCAAATTATTGTTATAAAAAAAAATATCATTTATATGTTTGAATATATAAAAACGCCTGTTCTGCAGCAAAGTTGCAGCTGAGATCATTTCAATCTACTTTGCTGATGAATATTTTTATCTATCTCTTACCGTTCTCATTTTGGAGCAATTTTTATTAATCGACTTAGAGTGGTCCTGAAAAATTAAGTTTGTAGTACTTTTTTATTATTCCGTGAAAGTCTCCTTCAGATGATGGTTAGGGCATGCTGAAACACACATTTTGGTAGAGAAAAGTAAATTGACATACCTTATAATTAACGTTCACTGAAGTACAGGGAGGAATTTTCTGCAAGGTAAACGTCTTAGAGCTTAAATGTTAGAGGATTTGTGTCGTGTGTGAACTTTTTCATTTAAAAAAGTTTCTTCTTTTGGTCATTTTTATAATAAGGGTGTACCTCAAATTGTGAATATAAAACAAATAACTTTTTAATTCTTGACTATAAAGACACATGTTCATCGGCAACGTTAAAGATGATTCCAAGCTACCTCGCTGAAGGAATATTTTGACGTAGGACTACGTCTGTGATTTCTATATGGGGGTACACTTTGTGAAAACCGAAAATGGAACATGTAACAAAATTATGAAAGATTTTGAACGTTAATAACTCAGCTGCCCCTTGACCAATTTCAATAATTTTATCACCAATCGATCAGAAAAATTCCTATGCTTCTGATAAATTAAAAAATTTCATGATCATGATTTTTCGTGATGATAAATATGCTAAGATGATTAAAATTATCTCCTATTGCCTGCGAAAAGCGATTTCCCTAACACAGATTTCAAAGTTGAATTCCATCCGGTCTCACCAAACGGTGTTTATTAAATCACCGCGTGGTGAGTGGTGATGTTCTCCGGTATACAACGAAATGCTCCTCGCAAGCAGCTAGCTATCAAGGCTGGTCTCAACCGCTGATCGGATTCAGTTCCAATCACCGTGTGTGGTGGTGTCCGGTCGTCGGCATCAGCAGCGGCAGTACACAAGTAAGCAGCGAGCTGCAGTCCACATGAGCATCCATAGAAGGAGGAGGAAGCCGCACCGCTATTGATCGGAATCAGTAGCTCTTCGTGAGTCGCTATGGGTCATAAAGATTATTTAAAGTCAAGTTAATGTCTCGTTGACGGCTCAGAATAGAGTACTGAGGATGGTTCTTGATCGTCCTTTCGACACTAGAATAACAAATTTACACGAAGAGGCAGGCATTGCCAAAATAGATTAAAAAAAAAACGAAATTAGCACTAAATTTACACAAAAATGTATTTTATCAGAACATGCTTTGATAAACAATTTGTATTTAGTAGATTAGGTGTATATAGTAGTTGTAGGTTAGTTGTAGTTGTAAATAGTAGTTATAAGTAGTCTTCTTTTTCAAATTTAAAACAATCCAATCCCACCAAGGTGGTCATTCTTAAAACAGGCCTGATAGGACTAGGAACTGTAATTAATAATAATTGAAATATCAAAAGAACTAAAGTTGAAAAGACGCATCTGTGTCACTTGATAAGTAATACATGTAAACCAAACAAATACAAGAAATAAAGATCATTTAAAGTCAAAAGTCTCGTTGACGGTATTCTTGTAACTAATTTTGAAGGAGACAGAAGCAGAAGGAACAGCAGCATTGAAACCAGCCGCAGCCGTGGGAGAGCTGCACCATTAATTCGTGTAGCCAATTTCTTCGGAATTCTGAATAATGATAATCGGTTTTCGGAGCTGTTTACTCATGAAGTAACCACTATGGCAAGCCTGGCCTGGCCAAATTGATGTGCATAGATCGATTCTGCGAAAATGATGTCCTTTTTCTGGATACTCGTGCCCACGAACCTAAACTCGATAATTCGAATACCGATTCTGGATGTCAAAATGATCAATGCAACACATCAACATGATTATAGATCAATTATGTGAATGTAATACCATTTTGCTAATTACTCGTGGACAATTACTCAAGGCGGATGATCCAGATATCGGTTCAGGAAGCCACAATCGACTTTTTCATAAAAATGATAATTCGGTTCAAAGTGTTTTTGTGTTACTTCATACGCGAAGTTAGCGATTTTCAGAGTTGGTTGGAAATGCTAACATGAAGCTTTAGTGTGATAATTTATTAGCTAGAGAATGATCTTTAGAAGAGGGTAGGTGGATAGTTCCGTTAAAGTACGGCAGTTTGAAAATTGAATAGAAGTTGAAAATGAGCGAAGGGCCATTAATGCGACAGTTTTTAAAGTATATACAAAAAATCAGCTCAGCGGTGGATTCTTGTATATAATTCTTGCATAGCTTTAAAAATTCATCAACTGGTAAGTGTTCGATGCGTTGAAACTTTTCCCATGCACCCAAGGGTGAATAAGAAAGTTGTGAAAATTTAACGGGTGAATGCATCCTTCGCAAGGTATCTTAAAACTCGAAAAGTCCAAGTAATAAAAAAATTGTTTGCCTGGCTGCTTGCAAGATGAACCTGTGTGTCTGTTGACGTCATTCGATCCGGTTTCAGTTTGAACTACAGTGTATCTCGAAACTGAGTGTACAGCTGTCCTTCAATTTTAGGTATACAAGGTATAAAGAATCGTCTCTAAGTTTTTGGCTGCTAAGTCATCATATATATAACAATTATTGGTAAACTATTGGTCATTTTCGGTTGAGTTTATAAAAAGTTAGAGCTATTTTATAATAACGCCTTTTTCTTGAAAATCCTTATTTGCTTTAAATTAAATAAACCTCACTTTTGAAAATTTAGCTCTTTTTAGTCCTATTAAAGATCATTCATATACTACTAATTTTACCTAATTTCGCCCACCAGGTAAATAGTTGAAAATCGAGCGTTTTATTAAAATAAATCTAACTTCATGCCGTTTCTTCCAATAAAGTCCAAAACTAAATAAATCAATAAATATCTGTTCAACCACCAGCCGAGATTAAAAAAAATATATCTCTTCACTATGTTTCAAAAAACTGTCCACTAGGGTGTATGCTCAATTTTGCGATACACTGTAGGTACCACGAAGGTAGGACAACGTTTCGCTTCGCTTCCAACTTTTCATTCAAGGATAACATTGTGTCAATCAGATTCAGAATTAGATATATGTACCCGAAATGACATTATGTTTGAAAGTTTGAATTTTCGTGAGCAGGACAACGTCACTATCAGTAATAAACAGCTAAATCTTCACGGCCAATCAGAACAACTCAGCGACTGAATTCAATTGACTCAGAGCATTTTCTTTTCATACAAAATTTACTCACATTTGGGAAAACCTGCACCAACCCATAGCTATGAGTAACTGCGGGTTTTCTCAAATATGAGTAAATTCCGTA